AATGTTCAGACTTACTGCTGACTTTAACCTTGTAGTATGATAGAGACAGTTAATTCACACAGTGGCCTCGAGAGGGAGGCATACACAAGGAAGAGGCTGGCCTGAAGCTTGAAGGACCACATATTAGCACAGTGGCATACTGACGCTACACTGCAGAGGCACAACCTGAAGGAGGTATAAATAAATTGTGTGTCTTAGTACAATGTATACCATTAAACCATAAAGTATACTGGTATATATTTAGGTTCACTTTATTTGGATAGTCTGCCTACAGATAGTTTATAGAATTTAACATTTCAACAGCTTATTAGTTGAGATTAAATAATTCTGTCTACTTACCACATAAAAGCATTTATGATCACATTACACTACTGCGGCTAAAGTTTGATTAGGTGTTCAAAATAATGTATATACTTTTTAGCTCACCTCCAAAATTGTCTACATGGTGGTTAATCCTTAATTTGCGAATAAATACTGTCAATAATCATAACCATTCAAACAGAAACTTTTCTTACTCTCCCCCCGTCCACAGTGTGATTGGTCAGTTTACGACTCATGAAAAGAATGTGTAAGTACAAGGTATCTGATCTTCTCCCTTCTCTGTATCTGTTGATAGAGATTAGTTGGAAGACAAGAACGGAGCAAGTGAGAGTCACATAGTGCCTCGTGGGTAATGCAAATTATTTAGGGCCATATGAATCGCCCAGAGATCCTGATATGGCGAGGGCAGAAAGACCTGCAGCTTGTGAGAATTGCCGGGGTGGAGGAAAAGCTAAGCTTCATGAAGCAGCAGGGGTTGTAGCCAAGTCAGTGGTCTGGTCGCTGCCACACAGGTCACTCGTCGCTGCCACTAGCGGCTCTAAAGATAGCAGTCGAGAAAGGTCAGTCGTAGGTGGAGGGTTTGTTGAGGTTTCCTGGCTGTGCCCACATGTTAGAGATCACAATCCTTCATTATTAAATGACCTATATATTTTTTTACAATTACGATTACCTATATTCTTATTGTTGCACTATAATGCAGTTTGTGTGGTTACATCTACAGTATAATCTCTCTATCTTTGGTTAATGCATACAAGAGCCAGTTGTTTCGCCTGTGAAGGAAAGTGTGTTGATTGATGACATCTTGATGGTTGAATCCAATCTTGCCTGATTTCCAATTAGCCAAATGACTTTTACTTACAATTCCAATACATTTTTCCCAAAGATGCACAATCACAGAGGTTCACCACTGCATGTTTAAAGTAGTTTTACCTTTCTCATGTTGACTGACCTGGCCCGACCACTATCTTTAGCGCCCCTAGTGGCAGCGACCGTCCGTGTGACGCTAAAACCCACTCTCCAGTGAAGTCAAGGCAGTAGTAGATAGATCTGATCACATCGCTATAACCAGTCCTGCTTCAGAGTGATGTTGGCACCACCCACTCAATTAGCATACAGGAGCAAGGAAAAATAAATGTGGAAATGTGGAAATACAGGCATAAATAAATGTATAGATATAAATGTAGAAATCAAAAATATGTACATGTAGAAATGCATAAAAATATACGAAATAATACAGAAACAGCCTTTTTTTTATTACAAATATATTTAATTTGAATTGATTTATGTATTTAATTATTTATTTCTGCATTTATTTATTTATTTATTGTTAAGTCATTTTTGATCCCTCATACAAATCAAGCAGGAACCTCCATGTCTGAAAACTCAGGAGGTGCCTTTTACCTGCATTCTTTCCAGCGGCCAGCAGGCGAGTTTATTTGTTGCAAAGTCCACTTCATTCAGAAATAATATTTCTTACCTCATTTAACACTTTCCTCATAAGTTTGTGGTCTCAATCGTTAGTTTAAAGTCTTCTTTGATACAGCATGATGTTCATTTACAAAGTAATTGTCCGATTTCAGGGAAATAGACAAGAAAGCGGGTATAGGCGTGGCTATCTTGTGATTGAAAAGTCGCTACTCTGGCGACCTGTCAATCATGTCAGAGGGTCCATGTACATAGGCTACTGTGTAGTTAGATTTCCAGTGCCAACGGCATAACAGATGATTAGGTAGCAGCTACTACTCCCAAGGTACACTGCGCATAAATAAAATCACCAATCTGAACATCTACTGATCTGTTCCTAATGGCGGGCTGAAGATAAATATGGCAATTTGTAGAGACATAGGCTAAGAAACCATCCACACTTTAAACCAATTAAATTTCTTTCTGCTGTCAAGAAACACCTTTATCACTCAGAATTAAAGGATACTTGATTGAAAATAATGACTGATTTATTATCCCATTGCTTTGTTAAACTATCAGCAAACTTGATGTTGAGGATATTAAAACAAAATACATTAAAATATCATGTTGAAAACTGTCTAAAAAAACTTTATTGCTGCGTGGGTTCTCTCCAGGTGCTCCGCCTTCCTCCCACCATCCAAAGACATGCAGGCTAGGTTGATTGGTTACCCTAAAATTGTCCTTAGGTGTGAGTGTGAGCGTGAGTGGTTGTCTGTCTATGTGTGGCCCTGCGATGGACTGGCGACCTGTCCAGGGTGTTTTCTGATATTACACCCTTGTGGTTACGGTTTGATTAGGGCTAATGTTAGTGTATTCATTGTAATTTCAGATAATAGTATAGACTAGTCTATTATGCTGTCCCCTCCAAAAGTATTGGAACAGTAAGGCAAATTCCTTTGTTTTTGTTGTTCACTGAAGACATTTGGGTTTAAGATCAAAAGATGAGTATGAGACAAGAGTTCAGAATTTCAGCTCTCATTTCCTGGTATTCACATGTAGATATGTTAAACAACTCAGGACACACCAACCTTTGTTTGAACCCACCTATTTTTCAAGTGAGCAAAACTATTGGAACATGTGACTGAAAGATGTTTCTTGTTGCCCAGGTGTTGCCTTTTAGGTTGATTGTCCAAACATTAAATTGCTCTGCATGACAAGTCTAAGTTCCTGTTAAAGAGGATAAACCAACATGGAGACCAGAGAGCCGTCTATGGCAGAAAAGCAAGCCATTGTCAAGCTGAGAAGAGAAGGAAAACCGACCAGAGCTATTGGACAAACATTGGGCATAGCAAGCACAACAATTTGGAATGTCCCGAAAAAGAAAGAAACTACATAACATACAACAACTACAGAAACATTTTGTCTGCCAATTTACGGAGAAATGCATTGAAACTAATCTGGAGGAAGTTTATCATGCAGCAGGACAATGACCCAAAGCACACTGCCAACAAACAAAGGACTTCATCAGGGGGAGAAGTGGAAGATTTTAGACTGCCCAAGTCAATCACCTGACCTTAACCCAATAGAGCATCACCTTAAGGGGAGACTGAAGGGAGAAACACCCCCTGAAACAAACGAGAACTGAAAGAAGCTGCGGTAAAAGCCTGGGATAACAACACAAATGAAGAGTGCAACAGTTTGGTGATGTCGATGGGTCGCAGGCTTGAGGCAGTTATTGCAAGCAAGGATTATGCCACCAAATATTAAATGTTATCTACTTTAAGATTATTTGTTCCATTACTTTTGCTCACCTAAGAATGCTGTGGTCTAATACAAACGGTGATATGTCCTAAGTTGTTTAATACATCTAGAGGTGACTTCCAGGAAATAAAAGCTGAAATTCTGAACTCTTGTCTCCTACTCATCTTTGATCTTAAACCCAAAAAACAAAGGAATTTGCCTTACTGTTCCAATACTTTTGGAGGGGACTGTATAGCTTACCAGTAGTACAAAAATTCAAATGTTTGCTGATTGCTGTTAACAAGGTTGTCACTTTGTGTAGAAAAGTGGTGGTAACCTTAGGGGTGTGACGATACACTCGGGGTCAGAAAAGTTTGATGGTGAAAGATACAAGCAGGGGGTGTGGAGGTCCTCCCCCAGAAGATTTTGAGCATTAATCTCTTAAATTACTGCATTCTGGATCCATTTTCTTCACCAATGTATTTTGTAAATGTATTTATATTGTTTAGGACAATTCTTCTTTTATATTTAAATTGCATTCATGTTTTCTTGTGCAAATAAACCCATATTCATTTGTTATTTAACATTTCTCTTTGCAAGCTATTTTTAACAACTGCTTTATAAAGTAATGGGGACATTCTGACATGACCCCAGCACAAGGAAAAAGTCCCGGTATGCCAAAGAGTAAAATGTATAGCAGCCCACTTCAAGAACTGATGTGTGATTTATGACCAATCTTAACTTGATCATGTTTCTTTCATGTGTTTATGGCTGCGTTCAGACTGCAGGCCAATGGGGCCCACATCCAATTTTTTTTGCTCAAATGTGACTCAGATCTGATCTTTTTACAGTGTGAACAGGCCAAGTCACATGAAATCTGATCTTTTCCAGTTCGGATTTGGGCCACTTCCACATGTGGTCCAAATCTGACACAGATCGGATCTCTCTAAAAGTGGCCTGGTCAGGACAGTCGGAATTGCGACTTTGTTGTTACTCTAGAGGAGCTGTGCTCACAGTTCTGCTGTAGATGGAGCCGCTACAAACGACAAAGCTCCACCAAAAGCCATCATAAACATGTGGCCCTCTTCATCTGTATCTTGTTATCATCTGCTCACAAATTCCCTTTCTTACACTAGAAATATGGGAGTCTCCTGGGAAAACTGGGAGGGTTAGCAAGTATGAGCTAACCAGAGCTAACCGCAGCTAACCTCTGTGGCCCTGTTCACAACAGCATGCTATACGTGACGTCGTGTTATTGTTCTGCGTATGCGGGTCACTCTCAGGCCGTGGACAGTTTACACTGAAGTCTGATATGGGCCACATTTAAGCGATGTGAACTGTCAAACAAAAATATCTGATCTGGGGGAAAAAATCGGAATTGAGCATTAAGGCCTGCAGTCTGAACGTAGCCTTAGTCATCACATTTGGACTACTATATTTCTCTTTTTACCTGCCTTAAATCTTCGTTAGACCATTTAAAACCATACAAAATGCTGCTGCTAGGCTCTTAACAATATCCAACAACTGGTCACATATTACATCTATTTTAAAGTATCAGCACTGGCTTCCCGTTAATTTTAGTATACATTTAAAAACATGAAATTTGTCAAACAGATATTTAGGTAGAATGTGGTATTTTAAGTTTTAACTTGTGTCTTATGTCTGTTTCCTTCAAATATTTTGTCTTGTGTTTTATCTTTGTTTTCTTTATTTGATTTATTTATTTGACTGTTAAGTACTTTATGACTGGTGTCTGTGAATGCTACTTAAGTTTTCAGTCTGGGTGCGAAGGACACTGAATAATTATTACTACCTGCATCTATGGAAGGGTACAAAGGGCAATTCTGTTTTTAGATTCACTAAAAGACATATTCTCCTTTCCAACTCGCTATATATATACATATACATATGTATATACATATGCCATATATATATGTATATATATATATATGTGTGTGTGTACTGTATCACAAGAGGACGTGGATCTTTCCTATAAGTGGGGAGGATAAGTCTGCGTTATTGCTTTGCTGGTATGGTAGTATCCCCCTCAGACCATCTGAGAGACACAGAGCCCCATTTGGGACTTTGGGTATGTTAAGATGAGACAAGGAGGCACAAACCAAAACTATCAGGCCCATTCAAACATGGTCCTCTAGGTTTCCTTCAATACATTTTCAAATATAAAATTACTTGGCTGAATATGTGATGCTTATTATTTACTGAGATGTGCATCCATATTGCCCAGTCTGTCCAGCTAATCAACATTTTAATATTCAATGTGCTTCCCATCTTGCATTAGTCCATAACTTACTTCACTCTCATGTTTTAAAATTATGTATGAGGAGTGCCACCGCATCCTGTCTGGACTGGTCCCATGGATGTTTCTTGCTGGAATGCTATATATATATATATACACACACTATATCTGTGTGTGTGTGTGTACACAAAAGTCACACGCGCTCATTGGACAGTTGAGCTCTCATTAAGCTTAATTTTATGTTTATTAGCGCCCGAACTGTGCAAGTCCCTATTGAAACTGAAGGGATTTTTTTTGATTCACCATGAAACAGGAAGATGTCATTACTTCACATGCTCAATCTGCACCAAATTATAAGTATAACAAAAGTCCTACTCTGAACACATCCATATGACAATATTCACTCAATGTCATAGCGTCACCTGCTGGCAACAGGAAATGACACGCTTTACGCTGTAATGTACTACTCCTAGCAAGTTGGATGTATCAACTTCAAACTGTCCCAGAAAAACCTTGACACATTGATGAGGCCATGTTGTTGGCCATGAGTTTTCGGTTAATGGTGTGGCAGTGGCATGGCGACGAATTCCCATGCTTCGCCATGACACAGGAAGTTGTTGTAACCTAACTGTACAAGCTCAGATCTGTACCAAATTTTACACATTTAAATTGAGTTCTGCCCTGAACACATGTCCATGCCGACATTCACCCACAGTCATAGGGCCACTTGCTGGCAACAGGATATGACGTTTAACGAAGCAGCCCCCCATGGCACATTTCACGAACATGTATTAAATTTCTGTGGCACATGTATCATGTCCAGACGTACCAAAAAGCCTCTTGAAGCAATGCCCTAAACCCAACAGGAAGTCGACCATTTTGAATTTTATGGTCATTTTTGGATGATTTACAGGCTCTGCACTTTTAAAAACTCCTCCTAGAGAATTAGTCTGACTGACTTCAGGTTGTCGCTGTCTACTCTAAACCCATTGATGATTGAAAGTTGTACAAACAGTTTTCGTGGAACGGCGCGCCCGTGGCGTGGCATCCAAAAATCAATGATTCACCATGAAAGAGGAAGATGTTGTAACTTCAGTGTACATGCTCACATCTGCACCAAACTTTACGTGCTTGATAACAGTCCCACCCCGAACACATCTACATGCCAATATTTAGTTATGGTCATAGCACCAAGTGCAATGTAGCGCCTAAGGGGACACAGGAAGTGATGATTAACACATTTGTGCAGCTTCTAAAGCGCGTGGCAAGTTCACAGCCTTACCGGTAGAGCTCAGTGTGAGGGCCCGCCCAAAGCTGCTTGCAGCTTTACTTTACTACTTGAATCTGCTCCTCTCCCCTGCTCTTCTCCCCACACTCTCTCACACACAGGCACAGACACACACCTAGCCTACACCTCTGGTCTCTCACAGCAAACATGCCGTCTTGTTCCGCCTCTTTCCCTATATGTGTGTATGCTGACTTTCTCCATCAGCAGTACGTTTCATAAAGTCCTCGTGTTTAATAAACTCAACTTTACTGAGGGATATTTGCAGTGGTGCATTCACTGTCGCTCCATAATGCATAATGGAGGGGGGCGAGGTATGAATTGAATCGTTACACCCCTGATATATAAGGCTGGCTCTGACTAAGGATTCACATAGTCGAATCAGAATCATCAAGTCCTGCCTATAGTCGACTGATATTCGAATCATGTGTGTTTTTATGTACGGTGATTACTAGCTGAAGCTAAACTGAGGCTTATTATTGTTTTGTTTTATTTTTTCAAAAAAAAATTTCACCAGTGAAGATGGATGGATTGAAAGTTTTTATGTTTATTTACAGAATAAATGTTGAAATGTTTATTGTAATAGGCTCTATATTAACTTATTATCCGAAAACTGGTAGTTCTATGTGAAATCAGACATTGAGCACCCCCATATCGCCTAAATGGCATGATCCTAGATGTCTATGAAGATTCTCAGTCATCCAGGTCATAGTTATCCAACGAAGGTTAAAATCAAAGGCAACTGGACTTGGTTGCAACCAAGTACGCCAACGCCGACGGGCAACTGCAGCTCGGAATATATAACCATGTTGTGAAAATTCTTCATGTGCACGTAATTAAATATAATATAATATATATATATATATATGTGTGTGTGTGTGTGTGTATGTATTTTTACTATAATATTTATGTACACTGTTACAAAGCAGGCAGCTACAACTTTTACATGAAGCATGAAGAAAAACTAGGATCAGGACAGATGGACAGATGAGAGACTGATGAGTGAGTGTTTAAAACCATTTTTGATAAAAGGTACATTACATTGTCACATGCATGTGCACATTTGTGACTTCCTCATTTTCAAGTCAGTTCTTGCAGGCTGTTTAAAAAAGCAGCACAACTTTAAAGGAACTTCACTTCTCTATACATCATCTGCTCGAAAGACTTGAAGAAAATGTAAGTCATCATAACTTCTTTATGAAACATCTTAAATCATCAACAATATAATACAAAGTTCTTAAGACATAGGCCTAAACATTTAATAACTTGAGATCATGGAACAATTTCAAAGAAGAAAAAAGACACCGGAACTTTGTGAAAGGTGGCAACATTTCTATTTAAAACTTTAATCTTTTATTCGATAGCGGTTTGGGGCATTGTTACTATATTAGTTTCCTAAACAAATAATATTATAGTAAAAAATGATATATTAAAGACACCATATATTTGTCACTTTTATTCAACACATTGCTTCATGTTTTTCCATTTTATCATCATTTCATTTTCTATGTCTTGTCTAATAAAAGCAGCATGTTTATTATGTTTTTTTTTTAAAGAATTGATTAAAAGCAATAATATGTCCACTTTACTACTTAAATGAGTAAATACTTGTGCACTCTGCCCTTATGAGATACTAACATATCTGAAAGAATGTCATTGTGTTGGTATTCGGTTGAGGTTCAGCAGATCCCTGAAACCTTTTTTTAAGATCGAAAAAGAAATATGGGGTCAGCAAAACTTTTTCCATCTGCATCTTCTGTATTGTGTCCACAGTTCTCACTCCTACTGACACACAAAGATGACTGCAGCTCTGACTCTGCTTCTCATTGGCTGGCCGCTACAACGTGAGTTGATCTTCAGTCACATTTGGATCAACGACTATAAAAACTATCTACAACCAAGGCAACCAAACAGTAAAAAGCTCATTGTAAAGTAGTATTCACTTGTTCTTATTCAAAGATGTGTGTCTTGTGTTTCAGGTGCCTTGTGTGGACAGTTTGAGGTCACTGTGCCGCAGACTATAGAGGTTCTGAGAGGATCCTGTGTGACCATCCCCTGCTCTTTTGATGTAGAGAACAACTATGAATCAAACTTGGATAACACATGTAAAGCATTATGGAAAATTACACTAGAAACTGTTGTGTTTGATAGCAGTACTCCACAACAAAATAAAATAAAAGGAGAACTGACAGGAGACTTGACAAAAAAAGACTGCACCACAACTCTGAATAACATGCAACCTGAACACAGCAAGAAATATTTCTTCAGAGTGCAATGCAACAACGCCCTGAAACATAATTTTCCTGACCAAAAATTGGAAATTTCTGTCAAAGGTAGATACTCACACTTTCCCTTGTACAATTGCTTTGACCTTGTTTTGCATTTAGCAAACAGTATGAAAACAGAGAGGATTGATGAAATGTACCTTCCCACCAGATGGTCCTCCCAGACCGACTCTGACTCCGTCCACACTGAAGGTGAAGGAGGGAACCTCAGTGAAATTGACGTGTTCTGCTCCAGCTCCCTGTCTGTCTCATCCTCCAGCTCTGACATGGACCCCCAGCCTTGGTGACATTCATGAGACACTGCAGGAGAATCAGGACAAAACTAAATTCAAGACCTCTGTTCTGACCTTCACTGCCTCTCACCTCCATCACAGACAAGAAATCTCCTGTACCGCTGTATACAACAAACAAGATGGCAGCATTGAGTCATCTGTTACCACAAGATTAACAGCTGATATTTTATGTGAGTTAACGTGTCCTCTACTGAAATTCATCTTCCCTAGTTTTCTTGACTTAGTTTGAATTATGGCTGAAACCATTATTTTACTCATTCATTAGTTGATCAACAGAAAAATTATTTTGATGATTGTCCTGTTCTCAAAATACGAGGATTTGCTGTTTTTCTCTTAAACACCATTGTAAATTGAATGTCTGTGTTTTTAAGACTGTTTGTTGGACAACAGGCTATTTGAAGACGTAGCCTCTGGCAAACTGATGGGCATTTTATATACTTTTCTACATACAACAATGGGCAGTTCAATTGATGAACCATATTTCCTAAAATCAGAGTTATATAAGCTCCTATAATAAATTATCCTCGAGCCTCCTGGAAGAAGAAGAAAGCAGTTTTTCAAATTGCTGTAATGCTGATTACCTAGGCAATGTTTATTAGCTGAGTAAAGATCAAGGACTTGGTTCTCTTTTCTTATTGGTGGACTAAAGTTGAGCTTTTTTTTTTGTACTTTTTTAGTACTAGTCTGTGTCCTCTTGAACTTAACTGTACTGCATAGTGACACATACAGACACACATTAATACATCACAGCCAATTAAAAATCTTACCTAAGACACAAGCAAAGTCAGGGCAGGCTCCGATGGGCAGCTAGCAAAAATAATAGCTAATAACGGGAAGTCAAATAATTAATGGCTTGTGCTGTGCGCACTGAGGGCCCTGGCATTCAACTTCCTTAGGAAGTCTGAGGCTTGGAGGCCCCCTGGCAGTCCGAGTCCCCGGGGCACTGGCCCCACTTGCCCAGTAAAACCAAGCGGTATTGCGAATATTATTGTTAATTATTCATCAAACAAATAACATCAATAAATGAAGTGCTACATGATGGGGGATATACTCCTGTAATACATTATTTTACTGTACTGTAATTATACATTTTGTTACAGCTTGGGAGGGTTGGCTCATCTGGACTAACCTCAATGAAGAACATCTCAAAAACATCACATCTAGTGCAAGCATGACAATTTATAAATTTTTAAAATACAATAGAAGCACAAATTAGTACTAATAGCTATCATTTTAGCTTGTGATACAACAGTACAACATTTTTAATGGGCATTTACAATGTGAATTATCAAAATACACCTTTCTGAATGTATACCCTTCTGAAAGTATAAGCATTAGGCCTATTGGTCACTTGATAGGCACACGGGGCATGCGGTCTAGTTATCATTATTGCTTTTAATAAATACGTTTTTTCCACCAGGGGAGTAAAATGTGAAGTTAAGCAGTCTGATCTGAACTTCCATGCTGTACAGATTTATTTCCAATTAATCAGCTGATTGTCTCACCAACGTAACCAACACATTTCTGTCCACCAAAACCAGAACACAGCGCTGGAGAATAATGTTACACGAAATTACATTCCAACTAACGTTACATATTTCAAAACACTGACAAGGGAACAAGTTACTTCTCTAGGTGATTATGGCCAGTTTCTAGCTAAAGCTAAAGAGTATTCCATCTGGGAAAATCCACGACGATTATATCTGTCATTAGTACTTAGTTACCACATGTCCTCATCTTAATAGAAGACATTATGTGACACAATTATATAAATACACAGACAGATAAATAAATATTTTAGTTACCATAACGGTAAAACTAACCTAACCCTGTGTTAAATAGCTACAAACAAATCACTTATTCCTGTGGTAGTGGTAAACACAATAACCCCCCCCACCAGCATGTTATAGAAAATAATTGACTCTGAGGAAACAACATTTCACTTTTTATCAGTACATGTCGTCTTTCATTTTCGCAAACTTAATCAAATATGACTTCACTTGACTCTTAACTTGTCTGTCCTCTCTACATTCATTACAGTTGCTCCACAGATCCTGCCCTCAACTGATTGCACCAACACTACAGGCCATCTTAACTGTTCCTGTGAGAGTATGGGAAACCCCTCTCCCACTTTACAGTGGCATTTGGATGGGTTTCCAGTCAATAACTCTGACAAGTTTGCAATCAGCAGTGAGACTCTAAACGACACTGGTCTGAAGAGCTTCATCACTTGGAGTCGACCACAGTGGAGGGATTTTTCCCCCTTGCTCTGCCAGAGCTCCAACTCTCTGGGATCTGCACGATTTTATGCCTACATTTTTCAGCCTCAAACATCTGCAGAAAGATATGGTTTGTCTTTGTGCTCAACACAATATTTATTGATTAGTTGGGAATGGGGTGTGACGAGACACAACCCACGAGACGAGATTCGAGATTGGGTTCAGGAGATCGAGACAAGAGGAGATTTTAACACTGTTTAAAAAGAAATCTTAAATGCTGAATTATATGAAAATTTTGAGAATTAAACACTTTATTTCCTGCATTATGATGAATTTCCTGCACCAGTTTATGGAAAAATGTTTTATTTATATAACGAAAAACACAAAATTCAGGTGGCAGGTGCAATTAAAACTCTATAACCTAACTACAAGAGAATATAATGCAATGCAGTTCTCAGTCATTCTGTGCTGCTATCAGATCTGTCTCCTGTAGATCAACTTTTCTCATGTAATATCATCCCTGCTTAGTCCCCTCAATGATAAATTATTACATTTTAATTTAGTTATAAACTCCTGGACTTTAATAGCTCCAGTGTTTCAGCATCTTTTCTGCACATGTTCAAAAAGTTCTGCACATTTAAAATCTCTCCCACATATTGTGTTTTCTGACATGTCCATGAATTTTAACAGACTAACGTCATCATTTAATGAGAAGTGTACCTGCCCTATACTCTGTTGTACATTACATTATTTATTCACAGGTAGTAACATCTCCTTCAGACCGTTTGACCAACGCAGTTTGGGACTGCATGTTGCATGTGAAATCGAAAGTAAAATACATTTTTGATCAGGCAGAAATGTCACCACAAATCCACATGTTAACTTCAGCAGCTCAGATAAAGTGCAGCTCACAGTCCCAAACAGAGAAAGGCTGGCTTCAGTTTTTAGATGTTTGTGTTGCAAGACTCTATCAGCTACATTTCCACTCGTCACAACGCACTCACAGCGCGAGTGGTTACGCCGGTGTCAATCAGCTGGGCGGGGTTGATTCGCTCGCGAGTCTATCTTATCAGTTATACATTTATATTTCACTGCGTGTGGAAATTAATGTGTGACTTGACAGCTTCTCGCAAGACAGCTTTTTACCTGAATAGAAATATTGTCACAATTTAATCTGGTGACATCTCATGGCACAAGATCTTGTCACACCCCTAGTTGGAAACTATCAAGACTTCTTGAAAAATACATGAAATATTTATTGTGTATTTATTTAAACAAATCTATCTACTGCCAAGAGGTAGGTGAGTTACATTTACTCTGTTACAGGTACTCAAGTAACTTAAATTGTACCAAGTCTGCTGGTGCTTTGTTTTCCTAATGCAGTCACGCAGCACACATGACTTCTTTAAGAGCAGAATAATAGCTTAAGCCACAACACTGTAGTATAGCTTTCAAATAATGCTACCAGCTAATATTTACAGAAGAAAATTTTGCGCACCGTGCAGCCGGCCTGGTTTCATCCCAGGGCGTCCAATACCGCACTTTGTCAGGCTTTCTCAAAGCGTCTGGATTTGATGGCCTGTGATGAAACCATGTTGGTGCAGCAGATTTCAGTTGAGAAGTCAGTAACATTACATCAGAGAAGCATACTGACACTAGGCTGGCAGCTGTGTTAATGCTAAAATGTTTAAAGATAAATAGCTACACACAGTATATCATGTTTCAAAACTAATCCTGATTTCTGCCATAATGTTAACAGTCAACTAACTGTAGGAGCAGTGTGCATTTAACTGCTCATTGGTGTAGCCTGATGAAGAGTTACCAAATTATGCACACACAAAAGAAGACAGACTAGTTTTATTTCATGTGGATGTGCCTGATATAATGTTTCAACCACAGATGATCTTCCTCAGGTAAAAGTGAAGAAGAGAACACATCAGTATTTAATAGGCAATAAATTATGAAACATCACAGACTTATCTCCTAAATTGATTTGTTTGTCAAATAATAATTTATTATTGAAGACAATAATGTAATAATGTATATTTTTAAACAATCTTTACTTATTGACATACTTAACAGACTATAATAATATTAATGTAGTATTTTGTGATCTTACTTGAGAGCTAGAGACTGGGAATATTGTCCTGGTGTATATGGGGCAGGTTATCTAGTCAGGAGATGATAACTTGTCATTTCATCACAAATAAATACAAGTTTGCTTCTTTGCCTTTACCTGATGAAGACAATCGGTTAAAATAATTCTAATCACATCCACATCAAATAAAAGACTTGGGGAAAGTTTATTCACTACAGAAGTACTTTTTAATTGGGAAACAAGCCAGGAGAGGGACATACGTACACAAATTTGCAAAATCTGTGAAAACTCTATACTGTGTGTTAGCTCGAGTGTGTGTAACTACCTGGGATTTTATTTAGATTTCATTTTTTCGTGATAAAAGAAAGGGGTATTAATGAGTTAGTAGTGATAAAAAAAAGACCACTACGACTTTATAGTGTGGTTAATATGACCTGAAGTAACAACTCACCAAGCTGAATTTTTTAAACAGTATGTCAAAACGTCTACCAGAATAAGTATCTCTTGTCTGAATAACTTCTTTATCCTAATCTGCCATTGTCCCTTGTATGTTTCAGACTTAATGACGTTGGCAGTCTTCATCACAATTGTTGTTGCACTACTGGTAGTAGTGTGCGCACTGCTGTTAGTTATCAGGTAGGGCAACACCTTGAGACAAAAATGTGCCGAAATCCCCACTACATGACCGTTACTGTGCAAATACTGACAATATACAGTGTTTGCTTGGCTCCTCGTCCATCAGGAAAACTGCTACACTTCACATTTTTGAGCTATATTGGTTCTATGAGTGGACCAGGTCCTGTCTAAAAGCAACTTTTTAAAATTTAAATCTTTAATGAAAATGCTACTGCAAAAATCTACTTTTATTAACACTGACAATTTGTTGTGTATAGACACTGTCGTATAAAATGAACTTTTCCTTTGTATTAGGTAAGTCACCACTGCCAACGCTGGTGGGCAATATTGTGGTTTCATGTCAATCAGATTTAGAGGATTGTCTTTTAAATTTTACCAATTCACATGCAACTAGAGCAAATATGACTTGGCCTCTTGAAAGCTCTATCTGTTGCTTTATGTAACTTAAAAATGCTGATTGAAAGATCTCTGTTATTGATGTTAACTGACAATCAATTAATCTGATTCACATTTGTTAAAATGTTTTGTTATGAAAGTTACAAGAGAATCCAGAGTCCATTCCCATGAGGTCCCATGGTGTTATTTTTCTTACTTTGCGTTTCATCCTATTGATTAATAAATGAGCAGAGGAAAAACAAAGATGATTCATATATACCCATGTGCATTAAATGTACTATTGTTTTTTTTTCAGGGCTCAGAAGACTCGCCATTGCCTCCTTAAGAGCAAAGTTGCTATGAACCTAGGCGTAACAAATGGAGAGGGAAAAGAGGTACTTTCACTTAGAGCCCGGCAGTTTTCTACTTTAAGTAATTAAACCGGCTTAGCAGAGTATCTTTACTATAGATGTTTTTTCCTTTAATTGCAGGTACCAAAAGCAACAGAGGAGGACATTTATGTCAACACTGCTGATATCTTTAAGTAGAGCAGTCATCTGGTAATCTGAAGGTTCCTGGTTCAATCAACGGCTCCTCCTGAGAGAGTGTTGAAGTGTCTTTGAGCAAGATGCTGAACCCAGCTGCTGGTTGGCACCTTCGATAGATAAAGTGGAGCCTAGAAATGGGAAGAAGGAAGTGGAATATGAATATACCCTGGTTACATTTTAAAACGAGCGCTATGCACAATTAGATCACAGCTTTATTTTGGAATTTATTTTCAGAATATCTTGCTCTCTTGTTTGTTTATCTTCTTTTTTGTTGTTGCTTTTAATCCAGCTATATCACAGATATTTAGATCAACAGAAGCACGTTTTTGTTTTCAAGGCCACAGGATTTTTAAGACCTTGACAGATTTATCATTGGAGAATGTTGTTTTGTGCATAAGTGCATAATATACTGTATTTTCATGTTTATTTCTGCTGTTTTACATTAATTTGGCAGTGTGACTTAATTTTTAAATTCTTATTTTTAACATTTACTTTTTGCTAAAACTGAACTGCTCTAGATGTATAAACATGAAAATGAAGCAGGAGAATTTGAATAGAGGAGGACATTTATGTCAACACTGCTGATACCTCGCTCTGGAAGTAGTGCAGGTTGTCTAGTAATCAGAAGGTTACTGGTTTGATCCCCAGCTCCTCCACAGAGAGTGTTGACGTGTCCTTGAGCAAAACACTGAACCCTTAACTGCTGGTTGGCACCTTGGATAGATGAAGTGGAGACCTGGGCCGGTATTTATCAAGCTTCTCAAAGTGCCATTTAGTCATAAGTGCTGAGAATTCATGAAATTTACTCCTACTTTTAAACTTAAGAATAAAAGCAAGTTAGCAAATTTCTCAAAGTTAAGAATCACTCTTACTCTCCCAGTTATTTACGAGAGCTCCAGAGGTCTCTCAAGTGGTTAGGAGTTGCCAGTAGGGCTTGTGATGGCGCTGTGGAGACAGAGATATGCGGAGAGGAGAGGAAGAATTCTGACGACGCGCAGTTAACAACACAGGGTTTTGTATCTTTCATTTATTAATGTGTAGGCCTATATCATAATGTATTCTCTTGAAAATTCTTTATTGTTGAATGTGTGTTGAATATAAACTCCTCTTAGGAATTTCACCATTCAATGTGAATTTATCTGAGAATATTCTTAAATAAGGAAATCTATTCAGTGATTGGTCCTTGGCTACATGGTCATCCAAAATCCTGTTTGCGGCACAGCAAAGTGTTGTGAATCAGCACTAAGACTGACATTTAAGATTTAGTCCTACATTTCAATCAAATTAGAACTAAGATGCTTGATAACTAACTTTTAAGCACAGCTTCAAGCCAAGAATTTTTTTACTCTTAAGTCAGTTCTTAGCAGTGTTCTTATGAGTAATTCTGAGAAGCTTGATAAATACGGGCCCTGAAATGTGAAAAGGGAAGTGAAATATGAATATACCCAGGTTACACTTTTAAATAAGCGCTATGTACAATTAGTTCACAGTTTTATTTGTTGTTGTTGTTTATACTTTATTTTCAGAATATCTTGCTCTCTTGTATGTTTATTTTCTTTTTTGTTGTTGCTTTCAATCCAGCTACAAGACATCTAGATCAACAGAATTAAGTTTCATTGTTTTTAAGTTAACAAGGTTTTTAAGGTCTGAACTGATTGTTTGTCACTGAAGAATGTTGTTTTGAGTGCATAATATACTGTGTTTTTACATTAATTGTTTGAGAGTCCCTGCTGTTTTACATTAATTTGGCAGTGTGACTTTCTTCATTATCTTATTTTAAACATTTACTTTTTTCTAAAACTGAACTGGCTGTAGATGTATAAACATGAAAATAGAGCAACAGAATTTGTATAGTTTATTTTTGTTACGCCTACAGTTGAATTTGTTCTTTCATTACTGTATGTTGCCATCATTCTCCAATTTTATTAAAAAAAAATTTCTTAATGCATATTACTCTTGCCACAGTGTTAAACATGTACTATCCAACAAGTGGTTAAGTGTTTAGTACACTAGATTTTAGAAACAGCAAGACAGCCTCTCTTTCAGGCTTTCTCACTGTTCAGGATGACTGCTCTAAATGAGCTACGCAAGTTTCCTGTTTGAAACTGTATAGAGCAGAGTGGGTGTAAAGAGGATAAGGTGGTGGTAAAGTAGACTTGAGGACAGTAACAGATCAGTGGGCTATCATAGACACATAAGAAAAACCTGAGGTGTTAGAGGCATAAAATGTCCAAAAATCGTATTTAGTGACATATACTGACTCAGATATATCACTTACCATTAAACATCTGCTCAGCATTTCAATATGCAGAATGATCCAATACACAATCACAATAATCTAACTGTAGTAAAACTGTTACAGCCACTGTGCTTCAGAAAGTATGGGATCAACTTACTGAAAAAACAAAATAAAAAAACAGCTTCAAACCTGTATAATTCTTACATACAAATAAAAGAACACTGGCGCTCTTATTATTATTATTTTACGTTACACAGGGCTTTACACTAGTGATATTCCCAGACAAATATAATAAATGTGAATTAAATCTAAGGCAACATAAACAAAAACATTTCAGAAAGTGCCACATCACTGAAAAAAAAAATCATGTGTCTGATTGCATCTTAAGCTTCAAACGTCACAGGTACTTTGAAAATTGTTTTATTCAGTTTGACAGCTTAGAAAGTTTTACTGCTAAACCCTGTGATTGACACATTAGTGGGATAAGAAGAGAAGAGAATAATAGAGAAATATGACGATGTACTGTACATTAAAAAAGACATAATCATAAGTATGGGTACGTGTCCTCCTGATACCAAGTATTAATGTAATAAAAGTTATAGGCTAATTTCATTAATGTAATCACTCTCTAATCACATTACATTGCAACTCAGTGTCACATAAATATCAACCATGAAGTTTAAAAACACGAGCCCACAGTGGCACCCAAGTGCTCACTTTTAGATCTTACACGGACAGGTTCCACAATATATCATGGACCATTTGCAACATTTCTACACTACAAGCCGAGCTCTAGGGTCCTCAGGGTTTTCTAAGTATACACTCAGACACGTTTTAAGAATCGGGGAGATTTAAGCTGACAGCCCTTAAATTGTGAAATAGTCTCCCAATAAGACTGAGGTCTTTGGACTCAGTGGACTAAAAACATGAAATCTGTACACACAGGCATTTAGGTAGCATGTGGTCTGGTGTTTTATCTTTGTTTTATTTCTTGACTGGTGTCTGTAAACGCTGTTAAATAAATCAACTTTGCTTGCTTAAGTTTAAATTTCAGCATGGGCGTGAAAGACAGTGAATAATTATGACTTCCTGTGTCAGTAAGTGAAAACTGTTTTACTGTTCAGCTCTTGGGATCAAAGTAATGAAGAGGGGAGGACAGATGGGGCTTATGGTAATTTCTTGTATGTAAAGGTAAAAATTAAGATCGGGACAGATGTGGGAGTGTTTAAAACTATTTCTGATTTTTTAAAAAGTTGCATTACATTGTCACATGCATGTGCACTTTTGTCACTTCCTCATTTTCAGGTAAATTCCTGCAGGCTGTTTGAAAAAGCAGCACAGCTTTAAAGGAACTTCACTTCTCTATACATCATCTGCTCGAAAGACCTGAAGAAAATGTAAGTCATCATAACTTCTTTATGAAACATTTTAAATAATCAATAATATAACATAAAATTCTAAACTCTTCAGATCAATCAACAAAGGTACAAAGAAAAAAAGACACCAGAACTTTGTTAAAGGTGGCAACATTTCTATTCAACAATTTCAATAGTGGTTTGGGCATTGTTACTATTTTGTTGGCTAAAACAAATAATATATAATAGCAATAAATAATATATTAATAAAAGACATCATATATTTGTCACTTTTTATTTAACATACGGCTTCATGCTTTTCCATTTTATCATCATTTCCTCTTTTATGTCTTGTTTAACAAAAGCAACATGTTAATTATAGTTTTTTTTAAATAACTGATTTAAAGCAGTAATATGTCCTCTTTCCTACTATAAATGATAAATATGTGTGCTGCGTCACCTCGCCCTCATGACACACATAACACACATAAAACAATATCATTTTGTTGGTATTCAGTTGAATTTTAGCAGATCAGAATTCCTGAAACCTTTTCCAAGATGGGGTCACCAAAACATTTCTCCAACTCTAGAGTTTCCGCCTCTCCTGACACAAAGATGGCTGCAGCTCTGACTCTCCTTCTCATTGGCTGGTTGCTGCAAAGTGAGTTTTTCTCCATTCACATTTGGTGACTATAAAAATTTACAACTACAATGTTAGTTAGTTAGAACTTTCATTTGATGGGTATTAAATTTGTTTAACCTTTTATCTAAACATCTAGAAACAACACTGTGGTAACAAAGCAGAATCTTAAAAGTCGTCATTTTGGATTTTTTATAAATATAGTGCTAATATTTTAGCAAGACCACCAGAGAGAGAAAAAACTCCTCATCATTGTAAAGTAGTATTCACTTATTCTTATTCAAAGATGTGTGTCTTGTGCTTCAGGTGCCCTGTGTGGACAGTTTGGGGTCACTGTGCCGCAGACTATAGAGGTTCTGAGAGGATCCTGTGTGACCATCCCCTGCTCTTTTGACGTAGAGAACAACTATGAATCAAGCTTGGATAACACATGTAAAGCATTATGGAAAATTACACTAGAAACTGTTGTGTTTGATAGCAGTACTCCACAACAAAATAAAATAAAAGGAGAATTGACAGGAGACTTGACAAAAAAAGACTGCACCACAACTCTGAATAACATGCAACCTGAACACAGCAAGAAATATTTCTTCAGACTGGAATGCAAAACACTGCAATATAATTTTCTTACACAACAACTGGAAATTTCAGTCAAAGGTAGATACTCACACTTATTTCCTTTGTAGAACTGCTTGACCTTGTTTTACATTTATTGCATTTAGCAAACAGTATAAAAATAGAGAGGATTGACTGTTTATCTAGTGACTGGTCAAAATGTACCTTCCCACCAGATGGTCCTCCCAGACCGACTCTGACTCCGTCCACACTGAAGGTGAAGGACGGAACCTCAGTGAATGTGACGTGTTCTGCTCCAGCTCCCTGTCTGTCTCATCCTCCAACTCTGACATGGACCCCCAGCCTTGGTGACATTCATGAGACACTGCAGGAGAATCAGAACAAAACTAAAGTTAAGACCTCTGTTCTGACCTTCACTGCCTCTCACCTCCGTCACAGACAAGAAATCTCCTGTACCGCTGTATACAACAAACAAGATGGCAGCACTGAGTCATCTGTTACCACAAGATTAACAGCTGATATTTTATGTGAGTTAAAATCCATTATAATTATAAACATTATGACTGATGTCTTAATTTTCTTCACTTAGTTTGAATTATGGCAGGAAAGTTATTTAACTCATTCTGACAGGGAAAAAAGGTTGTTTTTTTTTAGACAGGTATTTGAAGACGTGGCTTCTGGCATATTTTGATGGACGTTTTCACACTTTTCCAATATTTTACAGACTAAATGG